CCCCAAAACCCCAAAACCCCAAAACCCCAAAACCCCAAAACCCCGCAGTTTAATAGCTAAATAGAACAATATTTTATAAATTATCATAAATGGAGATCATCAAGCGAGGGTTTGCACCCGAACAACTAGTTAACATCAGGAGCCATCATAACCAACAAGGTATAGGAATTTCATAAAGATTTCGCTCAGGATTTACTGACCTGGATGGTTTAAATTTCCTTACAAGCCTCTTGATGGTAATATCGACATATAGCACAAACTTCTATTGGAAATTGAACCAGATTCGGTAGCAAACTGAAGCTGAAGATCAGGAATTCTTATGACAAGATGCACAGTGATCTTCAGAAAGCTCGAATTATGTCGCCTCGAGTTGTAAGATTTGGGGAGAAAATCAGTTGCTTCACGCTTACAATTAAGAATTAAAGAAATACCCCCACCCATATCAATGGCGATGCTCCGATCGAGTACTCCTCAGTTTGATCACGAGATCATGCTTTTGGCTCAAAAATTTCCAGTAATTCCTCTCAGGTAACTCCAACTGTTTCTCCTTCTCATATTTTAGTAAAGAAGAAGAAGGGAAGGATATAGGGACGCTCTCAGAATCAAGCATTCTTCCACAGGATGCTATGAATTTGAAAGGCTTCATCAAGGAGAAATAGAACTGTTTAACACACGAAAATTAGCCAGTAAAATAAAATCTTGGATCCTCAAAACAGCTTACAAGGCATACGCTATTCGTATGAAGAAATATAATAAACCCATTCCCAAAATGTGAGTTTACCCCTCTGCATTCAGGAACTATACTGGGTAAGTACCCTTGGAGATTTAGCTATCATTAATGTCTCTGTTTATTGATTTGCTGGTATAGAAAGCATAAACCTCACAAAAGAAGGACAAAAAGGAATAAACAACAGAGCCATATTAACATCGTGACCAAGAGCTCAAGTATTTTATATATAAACTCTATAGACTACAACTCAAATTTTAACCATAACACACAAGGAAAGGAAGACTTTCATGATGAAATAGAGCTACAATATGGAGACTTTGCTGAGGAACGGGAGTTTTTAATGAAAACTCTTGATACCCGAAACTGAAACACTCCTCAACTTCTCCCAAATGGTAAGTGCTGAGTAAAATCCCAACATCCGTGATTTTTATGCTACTAAAACTATTTCAACTCTTATAGAAATAATAACCCCTCTTGCTGCTGAAGAAATCATGCCTCAATCCAAACTAAGCAAGCAAGAAAGTTTCAAATTCTTTCCAAAAACTCTGGCACCCTTAGTAAACCAGCAGGCCAAGTAAGTATACCCCATTAAACGCTAAGATACATCAGAAGGACTCCTTCTAAAAACACCCCTGCTCAAAAGACTATTGTTAGGAATAATATTTCAAAATAATTGTTTTCAGAGCAGTTCTCCTAAGCCCATTCCTAAGAATTTCAGAAGGAGTAATTTCCCGCTCAAAAAATTCAAAATTTACAGGTAATTATCACTGAATTCCTATTGATCAACTCAGAGGTTAACTTCATGAATAGGAAGAAGCGATGCGAGGATCAAAATGTTATGAAATAATCTTCGAAGACATTCAAGGAACTATTCTGAATATAAACAGAACTTCTTCATCAACACTCCTAAACAAGTTAGCATCCAGGTACATTGGAATGTAATCCATAGGCTGAGCATAAGCTGCTGCATGCAAAGAAGGGGTATAAACTTCCTGCCAACGCAAGGGTCAGTAGACAGAGGAAGAGCCAGGTCATTCCTCAGCCAAGTTTGGGTGTACTCTTAACCTTTAGGCCATCTCGTCACAAAGATTAACAAGATCTTGAATCCTGGGCTAAAATTACCATTGATCTCTTAACCTTACAGCAAGAGCATCAGATTTTATTTATAAGATCGTGTTCACCAATCTGTGTCTTAAAAGTTTCTCAAAACGTCATAATTTATTCAATATTTCGGAAGAATTTAGGGGTTTTGGGGTTTTGGGGTTTTGGGGTTTTGGGG